GACGTGCGAACACCCATCAAGCCAGAGCTTTTCAAGTGCTGTGAGGCCAACCAAGTGCCGCAGGCCAGCATCAGTCACCTTCGTTTCAGACAGATCGAGAAACCGTAAGGTGCGCATCTCTCCGATGCCGTCCAGAAACTTATCCACTATCGGCGTGTTATTGAGAAGGAACCACTCCACCCGTGGGAGCTTGTACAGGTGCTTGAGACCCCTGGATGTGAACCCAGAAGCGAATTTCAGGCATAAGTTCGTGAGGTGGGGCATGGTGGATGCATACCACAGCATCTTGTCTGAAACAACCGACATATTCCTGAAGTACAGCCTGTCTGAATCACGCTCAGTTGGATCTGATGAAAGCATAACCATCTGGGGGAGACAACACAGTGTGACGACAAAGCCAAAAAAAGAGGAAATGGACGTGAGCACGACATACATCAACTGATTTGCACACGGAAAGAATGCACCACTTGAGAACGTATCACGCGGCAAACGTTTACTCACATCCCATGCTCTTTCGACCTCTGGGTCGCCATCCCTCTCCTCTGCCGTGAAGTAATCTTCAAGGTTGAAATCCTCTTCATCACTTTCAGCTGCATGCAGTTGTTCGGTCACCGAGTCCTTCAATTCAGTGAACTCTTCTATAACTGCAGCCAACTCTCTCTTTGCCACTTCCTGATGCCCGTGAAGAGCTCTCATCATCTGGGATTGACCTTCCTCCACACTCCCCTTCACTGCTGCCAAATCTCCTTGCAATGCTGCCAAATCCCCCTTCATCACTGCTAGCTCTCTCTCCCTTTCCCCCAGCTCCCTCCTCATCCCATTCATCTCCACCCTCACCGCATCCAACTGTCTCTCGCTCTCCTCCACCCGCGCCCTCAACTGCAGCAACTCCCCTGTCCTTCTCTGAACTTCTTCCATTTGCGCAGCCATTGAGAGCTTATGATCCATCAGCTCCGTCCCCATCGCTGCTAGGTCCCATTCCCTCTCCTCCACCAGCCGTCCCAGCTCTCGCGAATCTGCTGCCCTTCGTCTTTCAACCTCCTCCACCTGCTCTGTCAAGTTGGCCCTATGTTCACCCAGCTCCCTTCTCACTGCTTCCAGACCCCTCTCCCTCTCCTCCACCTGCTCCCTCATCTCACCCCACTCCGTTGCCCTTCTCCTTTCAGCTTCCTCTAGCTCCCTCCGTGTCTCCGCCAGCTGCTCGCCAAGAGCCCTCATTCTGGCATCCGTTGCCTCTTTCAGCGGCCATATTGCGGCTATATTCTCGACGACTGTTCTGACAGATTCACTCAGCCTCCGCATTCCGATACCACAGAGCTCACTGCACGTGGCGGTTGACGGGCAGGAGAGTAGCAAGGAAACCAAGACTTTAGTTCCATGTGACAAGGAAATGCTAACAACTGGAAAGACAGGACACATTACAATCTAAAGAACTCAGACGTAGGACTATTGGAGTTGAGTGGGCACGTGGTACCTACGCATACAATCACAAATGCATCACACACGGAATTATGGACAGCGAATAGAATAATAAAATCCTGAAACTCCCTATCTCCCTTGGATTTGCATGTCTAAGCATGATTGCCACAAACTGCGAACACATAATCTGATGAGGTCTGCAAAAGTACTGAAAGCAGAAGTTAGCAAACAATAAAGAGCAAAGTCATTCTCACATGGGTTTCTGGAGTAGTTGTACAAGGAGAGTCATTCTCCCTTCAGCCTGTAACATTGTGACGGAGAGGAAGAGAGTGGCGTAGGAAGCAAAAGGTGAAAGGAGGATGAGAAGGGAAAGAAGGATGCGGCAGTAAAAGAGTGCCTAATTCCTTGACACGATAAGTACTCACTAACACTATCCTAGGTTGCCAAATCCCTCCATGGCTGACCCAAAGTCCTTAATCGCCATTCCACAACTCGAACACGCCATGGAACCTGTTTAAAAACCATGTGCTCAAGCGCCTCACCTCCAGTCAGCACCTATGACCAACTTCGGAGCATGCACCGATCGTCCCTGAAAAAACTTGAAGTATGTACATGGTGCGTTGCTTTGCATTCATGGCAAAAAACCGTAGTTCAGTGATGACAGAAAAACGAAGCAAGGCCATTCCTTCCTACTCAATTCCACGCCCAAAGCTCAAATCATGTTCAAGGAAGAGTCGCATCGTGCAATTCTTGCATCGTATCGTACCAAGGTTGTCCCAGTCAAGCCCAGCTGATGCAACCATGCTCTGACTTGCGGTTGTGATACGTCCATCCACCAGAGCAGCATGGTCAGCGGAAGTATACCCGAATACAGAATGTTAACCTGCAGTTTGAAAGTATAGGGGAACGTGGACTCATGGTGAAAATGCATGATGGACTCTGCTTGTGTTGAACTGTGCTAAATGGTCGATGTCAGCAGCAGAGTCAAGTTGTATGGACGTACCGAGCAAAAAAAAGCAAAAATACGAAAATCGGGCAGCGGAAATGGCCACGCGCAGGGGATAGGTCAGGGAATGGAGAAGCGGGAAGAGGGAAGAGAGAGGAGGGAAGAAAGAAGGGTCAAGGGACGAGGGATGACGGACAACGGAGGCAGGGGGGAGGAGGGAAGAGGGAAGTTGGAACAGGGAAAAGGGAACAGCAAAACGGGAAGAGAAACGGAGAACAGGGATCAGGGAAGGGGGAACAGGGAAGAACGAGCTGGAGCGGGGAACGCACAGACCATCAAAACAGCATACCAGATTGATGCAGGCTTTGGCAGCTGAGGAGTTAACTCCAGCGATGATTGCGGTGATAGCCGTGACAACGAATGCGAGTAGCACCCGTGGCACCGCCATACCGACTTCAGCCGTCAGAGGCCGTGGGCATCAGGAAGAACCAGAAGTGCCGCACCAGGGGAGGAAGTCGGAGGCTAGGAATCTCAGGGTTCTTGCGGCTGAAATGGCGGAGCTAGACTCAAGCAAACGGACGAGATGTGCGGGATAACGGAGGGAGAAGACGGATTGGAAGGAAATCCGCACGAAGGAAACGAAGGGCAACGGGGGCGCGAGAGAGGGTGGTGCGGATGCGATTTCCGGAACGAAGATTGGTGGAGGGACGGACGCGCGGCGCGACAAAGGTGGGATGCTGGACACATGTGCCATCGTCGCTGTCAGGCAGAGGCTGGGTGAGCTGCATGAGGTCATAGCAGCGACGCTTTCTCGCTTTGCGTGATGACACAATGGCGACGACGTGATGGAACCACCGGAGGATACGATTGTGCTCCCCGATTGACACATGGAACCTCAACCTATCCAGCACGGTCAGATTTCCTCGGGGAAATCGAGACGCTAGAATTTATCTATACGTGGAGTCAAGCAAGAGGGTTCAAAAGCAATCAAATGGGGGACGTAAGAAGTCCATATGACGGTGGCGGGAACGGGGTCGCCTGGGAGGTTGCTGTGATGTGATGGCACATACGGTACCCGTCACTGCGACAATCTCCGCTGAAGAGTACACACTGCCAAAAAAAAGCCTGACATGGAAACGAAACACACTGCCTTGGCAAGGTGCAAAGGGCAGGCGTATAATATCTGCTAACTATTTCAATAATCACCTACTACAACCCCTACCGGCTTTTGAGTTGACTCAAAAACCATTTCAAACAAGCCTCAACAGATGATACCATAACTTTCTAGCCCCCACAATATTTATTTCCTCTAATCCAAACCCCTAAAGCTGCTCCTGCCATTTGCCGTATGGATTCCCCGTTCATCACTAAGCATCACATGCGGCCGGCAGCAACATCACCAGCAGCTGCAGCACCAGCAGCAGAACCAGGAGCAGCGGCACCAATGCCAGTTGTTATTCTCAACCCTTCCAATCCAACGGTAGCTACCCCCTCAGCACGGCAGCATCAGTACTGCAGCAGCCGCCACCATCAGCAACACCACCACTGGCGCCAGCACCAGCACCAGCAGCAGCAACACCACTGGCACCACTAGCAGCACCAGCAGTGCGGCAGCAGCAGCAGCAGCGGGGCAGCAGCAGGGGCACTCCTGTCAGTCAAATCAGCTAAAACTCAACTCAGCAACCTTATGTTAGCACCACCACCACCGTCACCATCAGCATCACCAGCCCCAGTCGATTCTGCACACTAGTGCCCCCTCGTGCTGCTGAATCCAGCACCCTCCTCTTGCCCAAACTCCCACCATCACCCCATCAGCATCACTTAAAACACATCACCATTCATCACCGCACCATCGTCAACCAATCCTACTCAGGCCTCCTCAACCTCCCACATCACGCAACCGCATCACCATTCATCATGCCTTTGGAGTCAACTCAAAGGTCACCTATCCGCCTCACCTTCCTCACTCTACCACCCCCACCAAGGTCCTCCTCTCTTCCTCCTCTTCACCCCCGCTCGTCCCCCCCCAAACCTGCAACCCCCACCAAAGTGACTTTTGAGTCAAATCAAAGTTCACCAATCCTCCTCACCTTCCTCACTCTGCCGCCCCCACCAATGTCTTCCTCTTCCGCTTCCTCCCCTTCACCCCCCCTCCCTCCATACCCCCCTGCCCTTCCCCCTCCCTGGCTCTCTGTCTCCCTTGCCCGATTCCGACTAATCTTGCGAACCGGTGCCTCCTGGTGCTGCTCCTGCTGCGACTGCCACTGCTGCTGCGTCTCATACAACGTTCCCTCTGCCCCACCTGCTTCTTCTGCTTCTTCCGCTCCTCCTGCCCCCCCTGCTGCCGCAGCCTCTCCTGCCCCTCCTGCCCTTCCTGCATCTCTTGCTGCTCCTGCTCCTCCTCCTCGCCCTCCCACTCCACCTCCACCCCTCGCCCCCCCCTCTCGTGCGGTCATCACCTCTGCACCATCAGGCACCGCCTCGCACAGTTTCTGCAGGAGTTGTGCAGTCGAAGGGAAATGAAGAGAATGGAGAATCAGGCGCGTTAGACGAATCACTCTAGAGTTAGAGCTACAAACTTACTCCAAAGTGTAATTTAGCACCTTCCCGACCTCCTCAGCTCAACCTGTATACCTTACCCCACCCCTTCCTCCTCACCCCACCCCATCTCCCCCACCCCACCCGTGCCCCTCACCTTCCAGTCGTTGATGTCAAGGCGCATGATAAACTGCCCCTTCGGCTGCGCGCTGCCTGATGCAGGCTCCGTGGGTGGGCGAAGGTCTGCCGGGCAGGTGGAATCGAATTACTCATGTGTAAATATCATTGGATCAAGATGGATAACTTGAACTCGAGACGGGTCCGCAAACATTCACTGAAAGGAGAAAGCTACACGATTCTGACCTGGAGGCTTCTATTCGTGAGTGGGCTTTCACTTAAAAAGCACAACCAGCGAACAGGATAAAACGCAGTCAAACTCACCAACGGCAGCCCCAACGGTCGGATCAGGCGTGAGTTCCCACGCGGCCTTCTTTCACAAGGAAGGAGAGCGCACGAACATGTTCTCCACCATGTGCGCAAAGGACGCGACACCCATGCACAGGCATCAACAACCCCAAGGACCCAAAACAAGCAACCAGATGCAGACTCACCAACAGCAGCCCCAAAGGTCGGATCAGGCGTGAGTCCCACGCGGCCTTCTTTCACAAGGAAGGAGAGCGCAAACATGTTCTCCACCGTGTGAGCAAAGGACGTGCGCGACAGCAGCAGCTGCGGCAGCTGCACGCGGTGCCGCGGCGCCCTCTTGAGCCGACGATACATCTCCTTCACTGTCCCCTCCGTTGCCGTCTCCTTGCTGCCACTGCCACCCTCTGCTCCATCCCCTTCCTTCCCTTGCTGCTTGTTCAGCTGCTCGAAAGCACGTGGAACAAAGGGACCAGGTAAAAGGCATGGAGGAGCAAAGGGAGGGGCAGCAATGAGAGAATAAAGAGCGGATGCAGTGAGAGAGCAGCAGGGGCACGCAGTGCCGTGGCGCCCTCTTGAGCCGACGACACATCTCCTTCACTGTCCCCTCCGTTGCTGTCTCCTTGCTGCCACTGCCACCCTCTCCTCCTTCCCCCGTCCTTCCCTTGCTGCTTGTTCAACCGCTTGAAAAGCACATCATACATAGGGATCAGGTGCAGAGGGGGGAAGGACAGAAGCGCGAAAGGACATAGGGGGGGTGGCGGAAGAGGGATAATGAGGAAGAAGGGATGGTGAGAGAGCCACGGCAGCTACACGCGGTGCTGTGGTGCCCTCTTTACCCAGCCATACATCTGTCCCTCTCCAACATCGCCTCCCTGCTGCCACTATCGCCAGCCTACGCCCCCCCCCTCCCCCCTCCCCTCTCTCCCCCCTCCCCTTCTCCCCACTCCCTTCTCTCTCATCGCCTTCCCCCCCCTCCCCTCTCTCCCCCCTCCCCTCTCCCCACTCCCCTCGCTCTCATCGCCTTCCCACCCATCCCCTCTCTCCCCCCTCCCCTCTCGCCACTCCCCTCTCTCTCATTGCCTTCCCCCCCTCCCCTCTCTCCCTGCTGCCTCTATCGCCATCCTGTCCTTCCCCCTCTTTAATGAGCATTCTCACCTCCCCCCCTCTCTCCCCCCGCATCCACATCCTTCTAGTGAGCTGCATCCCCATCTGCGCAGGTGTTGCAGGCTCACATGCGCAGCACCTCAGCTGGTAACCAGCTCGCCTGCGCTACTGAGGCGCCTCAAGGCTCACCTGCGTAGGCACCACGGTCGCCCCCACCACCTCCCTCTTGCGCCTGACTGCCTGCGCCCTGCGCTTGGGCGCCTCAAAGCTCACCTGCGCAGCAACCAGCTGGTAACCAGCTCACCTGCACGGGAACAACACTTGCCCCCACCACGTCCCTCTTGCGCCTGACTGCCTGCGCCCTGCGCTTGGGCGCCTCCGCCTCCATGGGGCCCAGCCTGCTCCGCACCAGGGGATTGCGGGAGACAGGGGGGAGAGCGGGAGACAGGGGGAGACGGGGGGAGACAGGGAAAAGACCGGATGGGCCAAGGGAATTAAGAGGTTAAATTGGCAGGGGAGGTAGGAGGTATGCTGAGAGGGTGGTGGGCGGGGGAAGAGGGTATGCTGGGAAGAAGGGAAGGGGGAGAGGGGAAGGGTGGTTGGCAAGTTGTAGCGACCGAAACATGCAGATATTACGTAGAGAAGGAACATGCAGTCACCTACAGACTCACATGGTGCCAATGGTCCAAGCAGGCCGCACCAGCTCCAACCCAAACTCCCTCCCCATCCTCGCCCAATCCATCTCCCCCTCCTCCTCACCCTCTTCTCCCACTCCTTCTACCCCTTCCCCTCCTTCCGTCTCCCCACCTCCCCGCGCCCTACCCCGTCCGCCCCCCCCGCGCGCCCCATGTCCGCACAGCCCTGCGCGGACAAGGTACTTGGCTCTAAGCGCCGCAACGAACTGCTCAGGCGTGGCAGCGTGGCGGCGCAGCAGCGCCTCCGTGGAGTGTGCGAGCACCTGCAAGAAGCCGCCCATTGCGTATTACTATCGAGAACACAGGTCCGGCCGAAGTGCAGCAATTAACAACTATAAAAGCAGAAGAAAAAAAAAACAAAGTGTAGTTATTGTAAGTTAGGCAAGTGTAGATATCAAAAGTAATAACAGTATGGTACCTGAGAGAGGCCGTCCAGCACATCGGCGTCCATAAGCTTCTCGCGCAGCTTCAGGTCCGAGGCCACGCCAGGGTTCGTCGTCAGCTTGTTGGCTGTCTCCAGAATCTCCTCGAACTTGCTCGACCCGATGCTCAGCTCATTGCGGTTCGAGCACTCTGGTGGTGCGGGATGGGACGAGAAAGAAGGTAAACATATTGTTATGAGACATCACCCTTACGACTTCCTGATACAGGTTCACTGTCAGGGTTCTGACGGTTTTTACTTGATTATTTTTGTTAAAACTTTTCGTGAAAGAAGTAGGTAGACGTGTGCTGGCCGTTACAAGCATGCATTAGCAGGTCACGAACAAGACGAATCGATGTCGGTATCAGAAGAATGAGATTGCGAGTGGTAATAGCTGAAAATGGCAATTTGAAAAAACTAGGGTAGATGACGAGTGAAGCTGGTGCCAATACCGCGGAACAATCCGATTCTAAGAGCAAAGAAGAAAAGGTTATGGCAATGATTATGCAACAAGAATAACTAAATGTCAGTATTAAGAGAATGTGATGTCAATACCTAGAAAATAGAACAAGTAACTAACCCTTGATGGATGAAAAGTCTACCGTAAAAGAAGGGACAAATATCCTTAGCAGAAACCTTACCTGCAACTTGCGCTTGAAGGCCTCTTAGCCGAACCCTAACCTCCCGGCGCCGTTTCAGATTATTCGCCATCTGCGCCGCTCCTTCGTTCTCCTGATTCTCCCTCCTGTCCCTTTGCCGGTTCATCGGACGACCTCGGTTCAGAGCGGTGCCGGTTGGCACCGTAGAAGGGCCGGAGTGCTGCTGTTGAAACGACGGCGGCATTCCCGTGAAGGAGGTTAACCCTAATGGACGGGTCCGCTACAGTCTGACGAACTATGATTTCAATTATAAATGTTACTAAATCTGAGGCTTCAAAGGAGGCTGAAACCGAGGTAATAGAATCTTGTAGCGGCGTAGTTCGAATGTTGCACCTTGCCTAACGAATGGATGATAGTCGCGACAGTACCAACAACCTTTCGCTGTCCGTTCGTTCAGACTGGGAGCACGAGCACGTGAAAAAGACGCTGGCGGAAAGCTGAGTTCCCGTGGTGCAGAAAAGGCACTGATTAGGTAGCGATTGAGAAATGGTTTTAGCGACCTAAATAGTAGAAAATCGAGGTCCCCGAAGACACACACGGCTTACAGTTCAAGCTTGAAGTTACTCGCGCGTACGCACGGTATATCTTGCTCCTCTAACTGAGGTGCTGGAACCCTAAACTATACTGACAAGACGCAAGCGTAAACATTCTCCGTGAGCGACAGGGCTGCACCATGCACAGAGGTATTATGACACGACTTTGCGCGAGGTCGTGGTTTAGATTATTCTCAGCCTTTTGCCAAAGACTCTTCAAGGATACCTTGAAGTTTCTTCACAGTGACGCCAGGCCTTCAAACGTTGTACCTTGTTTTGCAACGCGCGGGAAAGAGCGAATGTTCGAGCAGGCTGACAAATTTGTGCGTTTCAGTTTTTTCAGTGACGCCGTCCTCCCAAGGTAATCGTGAACTGGGAATTTTTCAACGTTCAGGGATTATTTTTGCCAGAACATTGCAATGCTTCAAAACCATACCTGGTTAACCAATGACGTTCCGAGAGTTCCGGGTACAGTGCACACTCGGGGGTAAGACAAGGGGCAACTGGGGCAAAATTCCTGATGCTGGAGAAATGTAGACTTGGCGGGAAACGGTACCGCGTTTTCACAATTGGCGTCATGCTGACATACAGTTCGGATTTCTGTGTTCGGTTTGGAAATTCCAGAGTTTGAAAGCCCAATTCAGGCGACTTCGATAAGTGCATCACAAAGGTTCTCAAAGCCAACCACACAAGGTTTGCCAGCATATTGTCATTATCTTCTCGTATCAAGAAAAAATTATCATGTGATTAGCGTAAATCTTAACGGCACCTAATAATTGCAACATATTAGTGCTCTTCGTGTGAATATCCTAATCACAACAATCTAGCAAAAATATGTGTACATGAGGGACTTGATTGAAGATAGATCTAACCAAACTGGTTCGGCAACCAACCCTATTTTTTTCCCTGGTCAGCTTCATTCGACCTATAGTTACTACTAACCATGTGCTTTGGCTTATACTCGTACGGAGCTGACTTCGGACCCCACACCTGCCACAAGGGGAAATGTTAAGACACAATGACCAGTGCAGGTTGTTGAGTACAAGACAGATATAACGGGCACATGGACATAACAAGCAGATGCAAACATACCTGCACCCCATCATCCTTGTAGCCTCTGTCCCAACTGTGAACTTCTCCACTACGAAATAGAGTAAGCTCTGAAGTGCACCGGGTAGCTCCGTTCTGCATGAGCAGCCAAGCCAAGCCAGCATCCCCCACACTCAGTCATCCCCTTCCCCCCCCCCCCCCTCAAATCCCACACCAGGAAAAAACCATCAAACAAACAAATGATTGAGCTCGCTGTTGTCACATCCAGCAGCTGCACCAGTGAATGGAGCACAGCGAAAAAAAAAAAAAAAATGATAATCCATATCTGTGAGTCTGCAGATCGAAAACGTTTATGTTACAATTCCTTACCCAGTTGTTTGGAAAGCCTCCTGGAGGTGTTGAGCCTTCATATGCACACTTCCGCCCTCCCTCACATCGCGAGAGGTACACTGTGGCAAGGTGCTCCGAAATATCCTGGTGCACAATGGGGTTAACGTTGTGACAACAAGTTGAGCTTACAGTTCAACACATTGTCCCAGCAGGGCCTCGAACCAAGAGCATGCATCAAAACATGGGCTTACCCCAATGACCTCCTCTGCTTGTGGCCGCTGATTCTTTGGGCGCTCACAGTAGTTTCGGTACTCTTCAACGTCTCGAAGAGCGTAGCTGGCCACCTGCAAGTGAATTGTCAAGTTGATAATAATCCCGTCACGTCATGTTTATATTGGCTGGACAGAATGGAAACAGGCACAGGGTGCTTGCGCTGCTCTGTCCTTGGCAATCAATGTTGTTAGAAACTAGCTGACTGAGATTCCTCAGCAAAGTAGCTCACCTCAGCATCACACTTCATTTCTTTGGAGCAGGGCCTCACAACATAGAAACGCTGCAGGCATGAGGAAATCAGGCATAAGAATCAGGACTGAAACTGACATAGCAGAAAAGACGACAGAGAGAGCACAAAGAACGATGAAACTTCATCGTTGTAACTGCTGGACAGAATGAAAAGGGGCGAAGCGCACCTGGCGGAAAGGCTTTTCAGGTGACCTCCAGAAGGCCTGCAGAGATGGGCACACAACGAGCAGTCGACCGCTTTCAGTTCTATTCAAGCGCCAGATAAAGACCATTGACATCGGACAAGCAATCATCTCGTGGTAACGGTGGGAGAGTCGGGTGGGGTGAGGAAAGCAGGAAGAACGTACTTGTCAACTCACAAAATGGAATAAAAAGCTTTCGGCCTCTACCTAGGTAATATACCTGCTCGCAATAAAGGACACGAGAGCCATCCTCCAAAACGGCTGCAGGACAAGAATCGAGCCTGGGACGACGAAGCATTACATAAAGAGGCAGGGAGACGAAGAATGAGTACTGGAAGAAGAACGTGAAGCCTGGAGCAAAGGAAAGAACCAGCGACTAGGAAGGTAGGGAACGGCCAGGTCTACGATTTCCGTGTCGCCCAATTACGCAGCTCAAGACAAGTTCAGGCACCTGAGATTGAAAAAGTTAGCAGGATCGCGTGCTGCTTGGTCTGCTGAAAACTGCAGGAGAATAGAATCAAATTAAGTTAGCTACTGAGTTCAGCACATTCGACGCAGAAAAAAAGGTAAGCGAGTGAGCTACCTTTTCTCCAGTCAACAGATTAGTAACTTCGCGACAGTGATCCCTCCTAGCCCGACTAATCAATCTCTTCAATATGTACGCGCCGCCAAGCACGCACGCCGCCTTGATCATAACGCCTTGGTTCAGCCATTTAGGTCCTCCGCTACCAGAATCTTTCGAACCCTTATTGCCAACTCCTGACTCTCGCTGATCATGCTTTCCAGAGAGAGGAGGCCCAACGCCAGACTCCATCCAACCAGTAAAAACGAGAGCACGTCAGAGACGTCTCTACTCTGGCGCGAAACTCTACCCGCGACTAAAAAAACAATCTAGGGTCACAAAATCATGGACAGCTGGTCGCGGTCTTTACTGACGACTAATGGCTACTGTGAGTTTCCCGAGTCTGATCCTGATTTCTGAAATTGGCTTATCTCTCTGACTGTAGGATTTGGCTGGCACTCCAGGCTGCGAAAGGCCGAGTCATCTGCGCAGTTCGTGAGCTGTTCTGCGCGAATCACGGTCTTTCGCGAAACTTGTACATGCCAAGCGCTATTGGCTTATCTATATCGTGCGAGTTACACAAAATGGAAGAAATGAACATAAATGTCTCAGCATTTATGAAATAGATCAAACATTTGTATATCAAAAAAATGCTGAGGCAAAGTTGCACTAGATTGAGCACATTTACAGATTCACACAGCTCTTTCATTTGACCATGCTGTCAACATTACTGTACAAATTTTCGACCTTCTAGAACTGTGCCTTCCCACCTTTCCGTAAATCACTCCCACCCCTCCCTTGCATCCCACCCCTTTGTGAGCGACTACCATTCGCATTGCCACTGGACCCCCTTCCTCTACCACCACCTCCTCCTCCGTTCCTAGAATCCCTAGCACCAGCAGCACCACCACCATATTTCAATGGCACCACTGGCTTCAAGGGGTAGGTAGATCCTTCAGCATCCCATTTGTATGCAGCTCGCTCGGAGGGAGAGAGACGGTAGGGGAAGTGGCGCAGGGATGGAGGGAGAGCTGCCAGTTCAGGGATCCAATGAGCAACATAGTCGCCATTGGGATCGTATGTGGACGCCTGCATTACAGGACAGATCCAGGGAAGGAGAGATGTATTGCAAACACTCGGAGGATGAAAGAGGGAAGTACGGGCGTGTGAGTGGCACATGGGGTGCACCGTATTGAAAGAATTATGTGAGGAGCACACACACCAAGGCGGAGATCGATGACAGATGTTGGAAGCACATACCTGCTTGGGAATGCTGAAGTAACGATCCTCCCTGGGATCATTGCCCACACCTGCAGTGATACAAAGGGGGCAGGGCACACACCAGGAAAGGCAGACGGCAGAGGCCACGAAACCACTATGACACCCAAAAAGCCTCACTCCCATCATGCACTCATGCGGTCGTGAAGAGAGGGTGTTTTTGAGACGTCTCAAAAATAGAGGCCACAGAACCATTATGACACCCAAAAAGCCTCACTCCCATCATGCACTCATGCCGTCATGCCATCATGCAATGCGTCTTACCTGCGTCATAAGCTGTAACCCCACCACAAGACAAGTTCCCATACCACCCTGCGCATAATCCTTATTGCTATGGACCATATCAGGGCCGTACAGCACCGTACAGTCACCAAGCGCCTTAGCTGTAACGCACCAGTGCCTTACCAACATCATACCAGTGAGGTGAATTGAGTCAGCTCAAAAGTTAGCTCCGAGCGCCTTACCAGTAAAATACCAGTGCTGAACCAGCATTGTACCAGTGTCGTACGCACTAGCACCATACCAACGCTGTACCGGCGTCACCCCATACCAGCACCGCCGTATCAGTTCCATACCAGCGCCATATGTCCAGTTGCCGTAGTTGGAAGCCGGGTCATGGTCAAGGAGGAGCGACTCAAACCACTCCGCCCCCATGCGCCAGTCCATGCCCATGTCTCGCACCAGGAATGAGCACACTATCTGGCACACGGCACACAGCACACATTTA